TCTTCCATTTAATACCTAGTTATAGTTTAAAAAAGTTTTTTAGTAAATTTAATATAATATATTTATATTATAAATATTTTAAAAATAAATTTAAAATATATATATTAATAATCTATTAAAGATTTAAAATTTAAGATGAGATTATTTAATATCTATTTAAATATTTAATAGCTTGTTTTAATAAAATAGAGATTTAAAAGTATTTAATCAAACTCTTTCTACTGATCCTTTAATTATATAAAAAAAAATATTTACAAGAAGTTTTTATATTTTTTTGTTAATAAAGTCTTAATATTTTACTTAAAACAACTTGAAATAATCTTCAAGAGTTATCTTTATCCTTTTTTATTTGTTTATAAATCTTTATCCAAAAACTTGACTTTTAGTAATCAAGAAAAATCAAGTAATATCTTTGATATTAATAATAAGAAAGTTTTTAAAAAAAGAAAAATCAACTGTAAAGTATTTAAAAGTTTTTTTTAATCTTTGAAACAAAAGGTTTATAGAGGTTTTTTATAATAAAAAAACTTATTTTTTTCTTTTTGATTGTTTTAATCCTCTTAAAACATTTGCTTTTATAATTTTTTAAAAAATTTATTTATCTTGATTTGATTCTGAATTTTAAGTAATACAGATTCTTACTAAAGAAAATTAATTAACATAAAATATATTAACTTTTGAAATATAAACAAGATTCTATTGATTATTCTTATATATTTTAATAACATTATTAGTAATTGAAAAAAATGTTCTGGAAATATTTATACTCAAAAGATCAAGTTCTTTAATAAAAATATCTATAATATCAAAAAACTAAATAATAGATAATATGAATTATAGACTCCTATCTTTTATTTAAGCTTTTCAAATAATAACAAAGTTTTAATAAAAAAAAACTTGAGTTTAAATACTTTTCTTGAGATATTTCAATTTAATGTTTGCTTAAATAAAGGATCAGTTAAATTAACTTGTTTGATATTGCAAGTGATAAAAAAAAATTTTTTTTTGAGATTCAAGTAGAGCAAGAAGATTATTTCAATCAAATAAATCCTTTTCAAGAAAAGACTATTTTTATTTTTGGACTTTTAAAGTAAATCTTAAACTGGTTTTTTTTTTCAATTATTTTTTCTCTTTTTCTTTTTTAATTTAGTAATTTATTTATTTTTGGATCAATCAATAATAGTAAACTGTTAATAATGATCTTAGTAAATAAAGATTAGAGAAGAATAATATTATTATCAAAATCTAACTTAGAGTACTTATATATAAAAACAATTTAATTATTTTATAAAAAGTCTATAACTTGACCTGTGAATCTATAGCATAGTAGTAGGGCTCCTAGATCACAATCACAAGGTCCAGAGTTCAATACCACACAAGAGCCATGTGAGAAAAATAACCAGGTTGCACAAGGATGGGATTTCTAGTCTTCCTGTTGATCGCTGAGCTGAAAAAGGATCTATCGCAAGGATTGCATAAAGAAAGACCTCTGGTTTGGTTATATGATTTACACCCGACCTAACCCCCTTGAACTGGATAGGAAACAAATCCCAGAATTCTACTTCTAGAACTGCGATAATCGTCTGAATATATCACTAATCCCAAACTATACTAGCAGACTCTGGGGTCTACTTTCAGGATTGTGACAATCATCTGAACATTCCCTATCCCAAACTGTATCAGCAGAATCTGGAATCTGACTATCCTAACTTGGAATATTCCAACTGGTGCTTGTTTAAATAAAGGACTTGTCAAATAGAACTTGTTTGTAATGTGTAGGTGGTGACAAAGAAGATAGAAATCCCTTCCAAGGTTCAAGTGAAAAAGTATCTGGGTATCTAGGTGGTTAAAAAAAAATAATAATCCTCAAGGATTTGACACTAGTGTATAAGTTAACATAGTAGTATAGTCCCTTATTAATATAATTAGCTAACTATATCAATATCATTATTGATAACTGTTATCAACCATCTGGTCCCTAGTTAGGTGTGCCTACCTATAGAGAGGTTTCAAGCAGGTCTGCCTAGGACAAACCGTGATAGGTTATCATTAATTTGCATGTATATATATAAGATGATTGATGTAATGCTTAAGATTTAATTATTAATAAAAAAGCTCATATTTAATATCAATTGCGATTTAAAAAAAAAAAATAAATAAAAATAAAAAGTCTATAACTTATTACAAACTTTATTTTAATTTTTCAATAAAGACATACTATTGTAATATAATAGTAGATTAAAAAAAAAAATAGAATAAAAATTTTTTTAAAAAAAGTAATAGACTAGTCTAATATTTAACAATAAAAAAAGATTATAATAAATAAATAAAAAGCTATTTGAGAAAAATTTATTAAATAATTTAATAAAATACAATAATAAAATTAAAAATTCTTTTTTTTTTTTTTTTAACCCACAATCATGCCACTTTGACATATTTTTATTGAGATATTGAAAAATACCTAAATATTTTACAGACTTTTACAAAGTGACTAACTCACCATTATACATTATTAATTAAAGAACTACACTACTTAAAAAATATGAGAAGTCCACTAAGCTAGTTCAAACTAATCAAAACTAAGTCTAAACTAGGTACTCTAAGTTAGATTTAAGGAACAATATTATACTTTTCTAGTAGCTTAATATAATGTCTCTAAATCAACTAGGGTCATTGTCAATAGTTTGTTACTGTTGATTATTCTGAAAAATAATAAATTGCTAAAGTTGACATTGAAGAAAAGGGAAAAAGGATTACAATTCAAAGCTCTTTAAAAAATTTTTGCTCCATTTCACAGTTTCCTTTTGAAAGGGATTTGCTTGATTGGGATATTTTCTAAGCTTTATGACATTTGAGGAACTTAGTCATTTCTGAAAGTAAATTCAAGAAGAACATTTAAGGAACTTATCCTTCTACCGATGTATAGATTCGCTTATCGCTAGTGAAGTCAGCACTATATTATGGAAGAGTTTGCCTGACTGGAATAGAAGCTTGAAGACCTCAGCTTTTGTTTAAGAAAACCTTTTTACTACTTGAGAAACTTAATGAGAAATAGGAGTTAGATCTTCTATTCCTACCCATTACTTATTTTTCAATATTATAATTGTTTCCTGAATATTGAATATACACAATTGAAAGAGACACTTTTTCTAGAACTTTCTTTTCTATATTATCAATGATATATTGAGATATGTGAGTGTGATCAATAGAAGCTTGTTTATATTCCAAAAACTAATATGTTTCATGTTAGTCAATCACCTATGGTAAGGATTTATACTACTCAAAATTTAGAATCAAACTGAGATAGACAAAATTTCCCAGAAAATCATAAACATAGAAGCTTTAAGAGGGTAAGACCATAAAAAAGGGAGAAAATAAACCTTTTTACTGCAGAAAACCTTTATAAACCTCTCACTTTAAAGATTAGAAAGACCTTCAGGTACTTTACAGTCAATTTTTTTTCCTTTGTTAACTTTCTTGCCATTGGTATCAAAGATATTACTTAATTTTTCTTGATCATTAGAAGTCAAGTTTTTGAGTGAAAAGGTTTGTAGACAATAGAGGAAAGATAGAAGTGACTCATGAAGTCATACTTCAAGTTGTTTTAAGGAAAGTATTAAGACTTTATTAGCAAGGAAATAAAAAAAACTTCTTGTGAACATATTTTTTTGTGTGTGATCAAAGAATTAGTAGAAAGAGTTTTTTTTTTTTTTAATAAGATTAAAAATTCTATAAGTTAATTTATAACTATATATAGTATATAAGAACAAAGTCAAAACTATTCAAGAATATTTTAAAACTTAATATAAAATAAAATTAACTATTATAAAAAAAACAATCAAGAAATTATGTTAACAAAATATAAAAAAAAAAAAAAATTTGAAATAATTATTATATTGTTATAATAAAGTAAAAAAAGATTATAAATATAATAAAAAAAAAATAAAAAAAAAAGTCTTAAGAAGTAAAATCAATAATAACATAATAGATTTTTTAAAAAAGAATAATTTATACTTGAATCAAAGAATATATACTTTATAATAATATATACTTGAAAAAAGTTAATAAAAAATAAATAATATAAAAAAGAAGATTTTTAATTTATTTAATAAAGCTTTGAAAAACTTATAGTAATAATCTATAAATATAAAACTTTATAATTAAAGAATAATTCAAATTATAATAAAAATAAAATATTATTTCCTAAGTTATATTTAAAGAAGAGAAACTTTAACAATAGATGAGTTGATACTTGAAAGTTATTTAAATTATAATTATTCTTTTAATATATAATAAAAATAACCAATATTAATTTAATAATATATTAAAAAAAAGTAATAGATCTTATAAAAATTCTAATACTTAAGTCAAAAATAAAATAAAATAAATGAATTTTAATTCTTAACAAACCTTCAAAAGCAATATATATAGTAATTTATAAGCAATAATATTAATAATTGAAAGGAGTTTTATTTGATCTATAATGAAACAATAAAGATACTAATAAATTTAAAATCATAACATTTTCAAGATAATTATATAAATAGTACTTTAACAGTAAATTATGTATAAATTTATGTATTGCTAAAGTTAATTTTCTAATTAATTTGTCTTAGTTTGAATAATTCTAAAAGTGATTTTAAAAGTGATTTTAAAAAATTACAATTCTTAAAAATAATAATGCTTTATTAAAAATTTTAATTATTCAAGTATAATTTATTCATTTAACCTTTTATACCTATATTACTCAATGTGATTAGTAAGTTATCATCTAAAAAGGCGAATCCTTAGTTCACAGTTAATTTGTAGAGTAAATTATAATTATTTATTATCAAAGCCCAAGATAAAATCAATTGAATTTTTTTTCTTGCAATGTACAAGCGAGTAACTTGATATTGAAAAAAGATTATCCAAATAAATTTTATTGAACAATCTTATTCCACCAACGTCAAATTTGAATTCCGAAAGAGCAAGTCTCTTCTCAAAAAATATGCAAAATATTATTCAGCTTCAGAAGTACCACTGAACTGATTTTTACGGCGTCTGCCCTTAACTACCGTAAACCCATCATCATTTATTTCATCCGTTGGTAATTGTGATTGCTTTTCAGAAGGTAAATGTTGCTTGCTTGAATCAGATGTTGACAATTTATCACCAAAGCCTTCTTGTTCAGGATCTGAAACATATGAGTCGCCTTCCATATCGCGTAATGTTGAGGTCCAACTTTCGCGTCCAGAGGTGGTTTTATCCATAGTGGAGGATTCCAAGCTCTGTCTTATACGAGGTTTCCATACATTATCTGCTTTTGCTGTACGCGTAGGACCTTTGGATGATGTTGAAGAATTCTGTTCTAGATCTTCATCTTTCGATGATCTCCATTGCCCACCACGTCTCCATTCTAATTCGTCTCGTGCTGATGTGCTGGAACCACGACGCCATTCCCCTTCCTCACTCGTCACACGGCGCGACACCTCGGGACGACGTTTTTCTGTTTCTTCATTTGTATTGTTACGATTAAAACTGGGTCGACGCCACATATCATCGGTTTCACGACGAGCTGGAGTATAACGGCGTGAGGTATCTTCTGATACATTTGCACGTCCAACTGCAGGTTTCCGCCGATCATCTCTACGCCAGGATGATTCTTCTCTACTACGAAGAGCCGGAGGAACATACCCGGTTCCACTTGAAGGCGTCCTTTCGGATTCGCGACGGCGACGATCGATTCGTTCCTGTTCCTCCCTTTCCAAACGTTCCTTCTCTTGTGCTCTCTCACGTGCAGATCGTCTTTCTTCGGCCGACCGTTCCGCCTCACGTTGTCGAGCGGCTTGCTCATCAAGTTTACTATATTTAATAGGAAAAATTAATCATAACATCGGTATGGAAAATTAATATATTAAATTCTTTCATACCGTTTCCTTTCTTCGTATTCGAATTTATCGGCTGCTTCTTTTGCGCGGCGTTCTTCTTCAATACGTTGGGATTCTATAAACACTTTAATATGAGCATCCCTACAGTAGTGCAAGTATGAAATGATAACAAAATCACAATACCTTCAGTTATGCGTCTCTCCTCTTCCTCGGCTCTGAGTCGGGCATCCTCTTCCGCCTCTCTTCGTTTTGTTTCCTCTTCTTTTTTCGCTCTGTAAATCTGTCGCCTTTTTTCTTTTTCCTCCTCAATTTTAGCTTGCGCCGCTCTTCGTCGTCCTTCAAATTCTTCAAAACGTCTACTTTCGACCTCCGATCGATTTTTTAGATAATCTGGAAGAATTCTTTTTAACCTTTCTTTTAATTTGAGGTCCTCCGCATGCTTTGCAGCTGCTGTCTCTAATTGCAGCTTGCGTGCCGCTTCATGATAAGCTTTGTCAGCCTTCCTTTGGCGTTCATAATCTTTTTCAAGAAGCGGGATTTCTTCTTTACGATAGGCA